TTTTATTTCCTTACTCCTACTCCTTACTCCAGCTTACTCCATGTATTGTAGACCAGCCTTTAGCGCTGGTCTACAATACGTGGAGTAAGTATGGAGTAAGGAGTAAGGGAGAGCCCTAACTTCTAGCTTTTGGTGTAAGGAAGCTGAAATACGGGCATAATTTTTAAAATATTTGTAACACTGATTGATGGCATTTTGTTTCACTGAGAGTAAGCCTAAGAGCTGAAGTAGGAGTAAGATACAAAATGGATTTATTTCCTTACTCCTACTCCTTACTCCAGCTTACTCCATGTATTGTAGACCAGCCTTTAAGGGTATAAGACAGCTGTACAATGAGAACAAAATGTCTTAACACTTTCGGCGACAATGCTAATCGGTCTCGTTTCGTGATCCTTACATGCTGATATGTATGTGACTCTCGAGGAATTCTCCCCGATCGTTCACTACCGTTTTCGGGTGCGCGCGATGCTGCCACGCGAGTCGCGCGTGATCTCTCGTGGCCGTTACAATAATCCCAACAACAGCCATTCTACTCGTGCCCACAGAATGTTCGATGTGTACACTTTTTTTGCTCCAGAGAACCGTAAATGGTTCGTATTTCAATTTTTTTTTAAATCGCATGTTATTTCCGGAGGAAAACGCTTGCGAACGTGGCAGCTCGAGGATCCGTTACGCGCGGAAACACGATACCGTTTCACGGGTGCGGTAAACGGACACGGTACTTTGCGTGAAGTAACCGGATGACTCATTGTTTGACAGTTAAGACTCGTGCGGGGGCTCCGTCGTGAGTCTTTTCCACCTGCGTGGACGAATATTGAATTCGTTAATAAAATTTTTCACGCAGGGGGAAAAGATTAATGTTTGAGTCCCAGATCGTTTGCAAGAAATATGTTGATCAGTCATTCAAATATTGCCAACGGTCTGCTTAATCTTGTCGTTTTCAGTCGTCCTACAACATCAGCGATTGACTGTAACTGATACGGAACAATGGAGTCGAGTTTCATATCGAAAAACGAGACTTCGTTTTTTCCAAGAGCGTATCAAATAGATCTTTACGAAAAGGCAGTGCAAAACAACACAATAATCTACCTGCCAACCGGAGCGGGCAAGACATACATAGCTATTTTGCTCCTGAAACACCTAAGCGGCGATATACGCAGGTACGTGGGCTCTTCATAAAAATTTGTCTCTTCCTGACCTGGCCTGACCTGACGTTGGATGTTTTTCTCAATAGCCCCAGCAATTAAGTTGTATCCTCTCCTGTGTTTGATATTATATATACAATGCAAGGGGGGAAACAGCTGAGGGCATTGTGGTGTACAGATTTGCGGCATTACTGGGCATTACTAGGTATTTTTGGGGCATTAGATCTTGCTGGGGCAATATAAAAGATAAAAAAAAGATGAAATAAGATAACACACGATAAATAATGTAAAACAAGATAATAAGATAAAGTAATGCCCATTGGGCATTAGTGGGCATTGGTGTACAAGATTTTGTACAATGGTCTTAAAGTTTTTCTTTATGTTTAGATCTTATCTGGATGGTGGCAAACGCAGTATATTCGTTGTAAACACAGTAGCACTGGTCGTACAGCATGCAGAATACATAAGCAGGCACATAGGCCTAAATTGTAAAGGTTATAGCGGAGACATGGAGGTGGACTTTTGGCAGGAGCAGAGATGGTTGGAGGAGATAGAAAAACACGAGGTATTAATTTGCGCTATTAATTTATAATATAGCATATAGCTAATTTTGTTTCTGGAGTAATTGATTACAACTATATGATTCAGATTTTGGTAATGACGTCGCAAATCTTTCTGGATCTGCTTATGCACAAATATATGGAATTAAGTAGAGTAAACTTGATTGTGTTTGACGAGTGCCATAGAGCTGTGTCTAACCACCCAATGAGATTAATTATGCAACAATTTGCTAAGTGCTCTAAGGAAGACCAGCCACGTGTCTTAGCCATGTCGGCAACATTATTGAATGCTAATATTAAAGCAGACCAAATTGAGCCTACAATTAGGGTAAAAAATCCCAGTCCATCATCTTATAATTTATTAATATTTACGATGTTAAGGTTACTCGTGTTTTTACAGAATTTAGAAATAACATTCCACTCAAAGATAGCGACTGTAGAATCGTCAGATTGTATCCAAGGATACTGTACAAATCCGAAAGAGGATATCGTCAGATATACGAAGTATCTACTTCCAAAAGTAATGGAAAAGGTAACTTCTATTCTAGAGGCAGCGGCAAACAATATAAAAGAGATAAAATTTAATTTGGATGAGATATATTGTGAATCTAGCTCGCAAATGCGGCCTAAATCAAAATCTTCCAAGTTAATAGCTATTTTAAAAGACATAGAAAAGAGTACGTTACAGACAGGTAATTGACTCACTTATATGCATATACTAGTACTCACATTGAATCCCGATATTTCTGATCTTTATATTGAATTTTTAATGAACCTTTAACATGTTAAGATATCCCTTTTTCGTAGGCATATACGGGGGAAGTAAGTCCGCTTTGTTACATTTGATCCAGCTAGAGAGCTTAAGAAAATACTCCGATGACCAAGTATGAATTTATTAAAATTATGATAATATTTTTGAAGGTATATTTACATTTAATTTTAACGACTTTATTGATCCTATTTTAGACGACAGATATTGTTCTGGATTATCTAATTACGCAGATATTGCTAATTAGGAAACTGTTTGAGAATGAGATGAAATGTTTCACAGAATTACAACGATTGTACAAGTTGGTATAAAACATTAAGAAATTAGTAAAATTTATTGTGCAAGCTACAATAATTTATATTGACTGACATTACAATAATATAATTTCAGATATTCATCCGACCAAATCCATAAATTACTTGAGATATTGTTGAATCATAATAAAGTAAGCGAAAAGTTTTGCTGCATTATTTTTGTCAAAGAAAGATTTACGACACAAGTTATATATCATATATTAAAAGTAAGTTTCTTCTTTATGTGCTATTTATCAATAATTATTCAACAATAGTACAAATTAACAATTGCTTTAAGAAACGCTGTTAAATTAATAATCATAAATATAAATTTAATAATCTAATGAATTCGCAAAAGTATAGATTTAATTTTTTATATTTGATATTTTATAAATCTTTATAATATTTCAATCATTAAAATCTATTATTTTAGATACTGTCTGAAAATGATAAGCAACAATACGGTTTTCTTGTGCCCGATTACGTACTTGGATTTCAGAATAGTCCTTACAAACATAGTAGAGAAGTTGCATGTATTGCAAAATGGAACAAAGAGGTATTGCAAAGGTAACATTTCCATTTTTTCCATAGATAAATTAAAAAATTTACGAATTGTTAACAATCTCTTAATGTATACGTAATTTTATCATATACAGTACACTTATTGAAATAAACATTTTAGTCAAATTATGCAAATTATATTTTATCTTGTATTTTGCGAATGTGTCAGATGCACAAAATATTTTTCTATGTATATTATGACTTTCGTTAATAAGTAGAGAAAAATGAAAAAAATTCTTTAGACAGCTCGGTATAATCTAATAGTCATTAGAATAATAATATTCAGATATTAAAATAATAATGCATGGATATGGGAAGAAATTCTGTACACTAGTCGATTTAAAATGAGAGAAAGAGCAATATTTTTGCAAAATTACCGCAAAAATTAAGTAATTAAATAAAATAATCAAATATGCATTGCTGCAGATTTAAAAGAGGTCCAACAAACTGCATTGTAGCGACCGATGTTGTTGATGAAGGTATCGATATACCAACTTGCACATTGATAATACGGTATGATTTACCAATGGATTTTAGAGGATATGTTCAAAGTAAGGGCCGGGCACGCCACAGTTCGAGTAACTTTATGATTTTAATGCCAGAAGATAATGATGTTGATTTTCTTCAGAGATATTATGGGTATAAAAATATAGAATCACAGTTGAAACGGGTAAGCAATTCCGATATGGTAAACATTGATGAGAAATTGTGTGCATTAATTGGTTCTAAGGTGCAAAAGTTTGATAATATAATCTATTTCAGTGATAATATAATATTCAATAAAGAAATATATGGTACGAAACTGTATAATGCAATAGTATATTCAACAGTTTATCCAAATAAAAAGACAAACTTTTGTCGAAATTAATTGAAATGAGAAAAAGTCAATAAGTTGTGTCTTTTTATTATTAGATTTTGATGGGACGAAGCGAACAGCGTACATTGCCTACTCAAGAGGATATTGCAAACTGTCTGTATACTGATTTTGAAATCGAGCCGTATACAGTAATACGTAATGGTGTTGTGGAAGGTTGTCTAATAGAGATATCCGCAATCAGTTTGATAAATCTATATTGCAGTATTCTACTGAAATCTAAATTCGTTACTGTGGTTCCGGTTTGGAAGATAGAAGAAAAGAAATCCGACGATTCTAACACGACATTGTATAGGGTATTAAATTCTTTACTATTTAGTTCTTATAATTCACAAACAGTGTTTACCTATTTTATATACATGGTTTGTCCTAATTCCCGGATGTCCCGTAGATGGTAGACATACCGGGGCAAACTGAATAGAAATGTCCTATAACATTTTGCAAAATTCGCAATAGTTATCGTGAAATTAATTTTAATGTCTGAGCGAATGATAGCGTAGAAGGCGGCAGACAACGGTGGGGCATCATCTAATAGCGAGAGGTGGAGCGGCGCGCCGAAAAAAAGTTGTCACGCAGCGAGCGGCGAGCTTCAGTATACTTTTCAATACACTTTTCTATTCAGTTTGCCCCAGTCTATCTACCATCTACGGGACATCCGGGAATTAAGACACACCCTGTATAAACTCGACAGGTTTCTCTCAAATTACCAAACTTATCGCCATTGAAAAGCAAAGTTGATGGCGACTTTATGAAAAGTATAGACGGTGCTAAACGATCCGCTGCTATGAAAAGTTGCATAAAATTACACGAACTAGGTGCCTTGACCGACAAGTTATTACCTGCAACTGACGACGAAATGGTGCAAAATTTGGGCTATTTGTTCCCAAATTGGGTAGACGAAGACACTTATCAACCTGGCACATATAAAAGAAAGCGAGAACATGAGTTAAAAGTAAGTGCATGTACTATATGTGTTGTATAAGATTTATGGATTATATATGAAATATTATTTATAATTATATATATTTGAGTGTATACATATGTACATATATGTAGAGAGAGAGGAGCGCTGTTAACTTGTAAAAATGCTTTTGCAGCATCCACTCGCGTTTGATGGCGCATATCCACAGCCTTCACAGCCATTGTATCTTCATATTTTTAATTATACCTCTTCGTATCCTATAACGGGCTGTGATAACAGACGAATAGTTTTTTACAATTTGCTTAATGACAAGAATGGCTTTGGTATTCTGTCTACAAAAAGTTTGCCAAAGGTAGAAGCATTTACTGACACTTCACAAAGTAGTTTAAATTGCTAGTCCCATTAATACAATTTTTCTCACGTTGATCAGATACCCTCGTTTCCGATTTTCATGAAGGATGGTAAAGTGAACATCGATGTAAAATCCGACTATGCAACGATGATATTAACTGAAGATGAGATTGCACTGCTTAAGAAGTTTCATTTCTTATTGTTCAATGATATTATTCCTGTTATTAAAAGCTTTATGATTTTCGATAACGACAATCATGAAAATTCCTTCTTAATTGTTCCCTGTAAGTATGATGACTATATTATAATATTGCTTATTATTGTATAAGTAATCTATCTAGCACTATGGTGTTTAATATAAATTTATTATTTATAGCTCCATGTTTAATATGTATCAATACTAATGAAAGCTATTCAATCCTTTCTTTCACTTTTCTGTTTCAGTGAATGACATGCAGGAGATAAATTGGGACGCTGTTAAAATATATCAAGACATATCAAGCTTAGAACGAATTATGCCCTGTCAGCCTTTTCACTTTAAGACTAGCGATTACGAATTAGCACTAGTTACTCCGATGTATAGAAGCTCAGCGGTCTATGTAGTTACGCGAGTGTGCGACGATCTCACACCTGAATCATGTTTCCCGAATGAAGACTTTGACACATATACGCATTATTATAAAGAAAGGCACGGACTGACTATAGAAAATCTGCAGCAATTTATGTTGGAGGTGAAACCATTACCAATAAAAATTAACTACATAAAACCAAGGTGCGGTATACAGATGCCAGAATCGCGTTGTGATATCTATTATAATTTAACTAATTTATGTAATTTACAGAAAAATGCCCGAGGGTCCGTTGAAGTATAAGAAATCAGATGACTCATTAGAGGATCTTCAGGAACATCTAGTTCCAGAATTATGTTGGAGGACAAATTTCTCTGCTGTGTACTGGTTAAAAGCGACCACGTTGCCTTCCATCCTTCACAGAATTTGTCAATACTTAATTGCAGAAGACTTGAGAGTAACCATTACAAGAGAGACTGGGTTAGGAACGTTAATACTAAAGGAATTACCGCCCTTAGAATTAGAAGAGGATGTCGATAAGTTGAATGAAGAGGATTATAGTAATGGACTGGAACTCGATGATTCGATTGAGAAAATGCAATCCAATCAAACATGTTCAGATGTAAATATGTTCGAATTAGGTGCGTAGTACTTAGCGTTTCGACACGCGTATTATTTATATCTACTGGGTGGGGTGTTCGGAAATTCAACCGACAGATTTTCAGAGATAGAACACTCCGTATGCCGTAGCAATGTAATGACACGTTTCCGACCCTAGGTTCATTTGCAAAAAAATGATTCTTGTGGTGCCCCCGACAATCTCTGAAAATTTGTCGATTGAATTTCCGAACACCCTGTATATGTATTAACTATGTAAATTTAACAAATAATAATATTTGTCTTCCTATGGGGCTTATTTTCATAAACTCGCAACGCCGGCGTTGCAAAAGCAGATTGTAATCCTTTCTTAAGAGATCAGGAACCTCGGGACTTATATCGTAATATAGAGCGCATTCAAATGATCGATATTCAATATTATAATCAATTTATGTCTGCAAGTAATGAAGATGAAAACTTTGAGGTAAGGATACAGCAATATGTATTACGATTATGTAATATACATATGTGTTTGAAATAATCATTTCATTTGTGTGTAGAGTATTACAAATAAAAAAATCGGTTGCTACATGAAAAAGTCAACGGTATCAGTACCGCCATTGAATATCTTAGCGTCTTCCGATAAACAGTTTTCCTTACAAGGTCCTAATTCAACAGACATCATGCATGTAAGCAGAAGCTTATTTCGTATATGTTGCGTGCCACGATTAATATTACATACGAGTAATCGCAAGATTTAATTTTAGGCGTTGACCACCAAACTGGGCCTAGATATGTTCAATCTGGAGCGGTTGGAAACTTTAGGCGATTCCTACCTGAAGTTCATTATATCGCTATTTTTATATGACACATTCCCGATGTTCGGTGAGGGTCAATTGACGTCGTTGAAAGGAAAGATTGTCGGCAATCGAAATCTCTATTATTGCGGCAATAAAAAGGGTATTTCCGGGCGTATAAAGAACGATGCGTTTGTTCCCACAAGCAATTTTATCCCGCCCGCGTTCACTGTGCTACGCAGCTTGCAAAAGCAATTACTGAACGAATCGGTGGCGCCAAATGTATTGTACGAATTTCAAATACCAGAAGAGGAGAGGTTCACCGGAAATCTAAGCGAAGATACGGTAAATACGATGGAGCACACGGTAAGAAATTGGGACAAGGGTGATAAGCAAACTGGTGTCGAACATTATCTCGGTGTACAAATCTTATCCGACAAAACCGTTGCCGATTCGGTGGAAGCGCTGATTGGCGTTTGTCTCAGGGTGAGCTTGCAATTATAACATTACCATTTTGACTTTCAGACGTCAGGATGTATCAACGTAACTAGCATTATGTCAAGGGTATTACTAAAAAAATATTCTTTTGCATTAGAGTAACGGTATAAAAGGCGCCGCAAAGCTGCTCAAGTGGTTCGGTATACTGCCTGCTGATGCCAAGATTGACAATATATTGGATGATAATCCACCTAATCCTGTAATTGGTAGTGGCGATCCGAACCGTTACATGCCGTGGGCTGATACTATAGAGGCCAAGTTCGGCTATAAATTTAAGAATCGAGCATTTCTGTTACAGGTAATTTGTCAAAAGCGATTGCCGTGATTGCGAATATATTATATTAATTATCCATTTTACACTTTAGCTTGTGCACATTTTCGTGATATATTTACAACATATGATACAATTATATAATAGGACTATCAAAATCGTGTTTTAGGCGTTCACGCATCCATCCTATACACCGAATATGATAACCGAGTGTTATCAAAGATTAGAATTTCTCGGAGATGCTATCCTTGGTAAGTATAAAAAATCGGCGAGTAGATAATAGAATTATAATACAGCATCACACAATACACCATTATTATACATATTATTATAATTATCACACGAAAATAAATAATGCATACAAGAATGGAAGATATCAATATCTTCCCTAATTTTATAAAGTCGCAACGATTAACAAACTGTGTCTTCTGGATAATTTCAGATTTTTTGATAACGTGTTACATTTACGAAAATTGTGGCAACTTAAGTCCTGGTGATCTTACCGATCTGAGATCTGCGCTCGTTAATAATATAACATTCGCTTGCTTGGCGGTACGGTATGGTTTGCATACCGCTTTATTGGCTTACGCTCCAAAATTGCACGAAATAATTGATCGTTTTGTAAAATTCCAAGAAGCCCGAGACTTCCAGGTTAATGACGAGGTACGCAAGTGATATAAATTTTCTAGCGAGTACAATAAATGATGTACATATTTTTCCTTTTCTTTGTGATACAGCTGCTGTACGTGTTGATTGAAGAAGACGAATGTAATTTGTCGGAATATATTGACGTCCCAAAAGTCCTTGGTGATATATTCGAATCTTTAATCGGTGGTATTTATCTTGATAGTGGCAAGAATCTTACGAAAGTCTGGGAAATTATCTATTCTTTTATGCACAAAGAAATTGGTAAGATTTATATACATATATACTTTATCTAATCTATAATAATTTATGGTTAAATCAAACAGTCATAATAAGATATAGCATAAATTAAAAAAGCAAAAAGTGCCTTTTCTTTTAACTTTATATATTATATGCTGTCATTTTTTAAATGAAATTTTAATGTTTGTTTTATAGACGAGTTTAGCAAAAATATTCCTAAGCAGCCAGTACGAGTAATATACGAAAATACAGATATACGTCCCAAGTTCCTGTAAGTATGATTATATGTACACATTACACATTCACATACACTCTCTCTTTCATATATGTGTGTGCGTGTATATATATATATATATATATATATGTATTTATGTATAATGAATTTGTGATTACAGAGACTCAACAACCATTACAGAAACTGGCACGGTTATGGTACCTTTAAAAATCACCATTGCTGGTAAAGAGACACTCTTCCATGGTTTCGGTGTTAATAAGAAGCAGGCTAAATGCGCAGCCGCAAAACAAGCATTAAAAAGACTGCAACTCGAGAAATAAGTTTTTCTACAAATGAATTGTTTCATATAATGTTTATGTGTATATTTACAAATGTTAATGTTTATAGATTTATGAACATCGAAACTGTTATTATTTCTTTACAGGTTTTGTAATACAGTAAGAACTTGGTATTTAAGTCCAGATTTCGATACATCAGATTGGTGCAAAAAGTGCTTAGTTTTAAAGGGAAAGCCTAACATAAAACGCTCAAAATAATGGAATTTTCAAGAATTTTTAAAGAATGTTTATTCAATCATTTAAAAAACTGTTAAATTCAGTTCTTTTATCTAAATATTAAAGTATAAAAAATATTTTTATACCTTAATCTTTAAATAAAAGCACTGCACTTTGTAGAATGATTGACTAAATAAAATTCTTTAAAATTCCCAAAAATTCGATTATTCTCAGCGTTCTACACTAGGATCCCTCTTGAATAGAAACATCGATAAAAACTGATTTATAAAATTTGTACATTTTCTTATATCTAACTTTTGAACATAAAACAATGAACCAAGTATTTTGAATTTTTCTTGAATGTACATATTTTGTTTACAACTAATTAAATTTCGTTTTTATACACGTAGGGTGCATTTCAAAATGTGCTCGTACTGTGGTATTGAAAATACACACATAAATTACACATAAATTATATATTTTCTAGAGTCGCTAGTATCTTTCGCGAAATGCCCTTACAATATTATTGCAATATTAACCCAAATTTCTCCAAAAAAGTATCCGTTTTTTCATGAAAAAATATTTGCGAATTATACTGAATTTAATAAAACTCGAGACTTATAATATCTTGCTTCAAACTTAATAAACTTTTTTTTCTTTCTGTGCCAATCTGATAATAGACATGTTATAAATGTGTAAAAGGCATTTGTATTATAAGAATGTATTTAATGCATTCAACTTCCGATTTTCATCTAATTTGTCACGTTGTCGACAGCAATTATTTAGTTTCCAGCTTATACATTTTTAACTAAATATATGGAAAATGCATTAGATCCTGCATTTCCGAAATAAAAAAAAAGATATTTCTTCCATAATAGAATAATAATGTACTTGATATATAAAGTTTCTATTTATGTAATTTTTATATACACATGTTTATTATATTTGTAGAACAAGTCAACAATGTGATATAAACCGGTTCTAATTGTATGTCGATAAAATAATCTCATGCATGTCTATTCCATATAAATTGTATACAGGGTGTTGAAAAAGAGGATAAAATATTTTAAGGGGATTTAGTATACCCAAAAACTCCCCTTAAAATATTTCACCCTTTTTTTTAACACCCTGTATTTGTCGAACAATGCTGAAAGTTCTATATTTGTATGTTTCGATGATGTAATTCAATGTTATTGTAATTGCTGCATTAAAGAGGGAAATAAAAAAACTAATAAAAAGTGCAGTGCATAATATTTGTACCATCTAATTTTCAGCTTTCCTCTTTTTCAAGGAAGGCCGGTCAAAGACTTGCTTCATCCCCGCCGCTTGATTATTGTGGAATTTGAGATTTTGAGCAGTCTCCGATATCCAAGGTGAATCGAACTGCGTCGTGTCCTGATCCACCAGGTGAGTGTACTTGGTCCTGCCGCTGCGCCCAAAGTTCTTCACCTGCATGACCTTCGGCAGAATCGTCTTGTCGAAGTGATCTTCTAGAGTCGCGCCGGAGAAGTCGCGCTTGAATATAGAATCGTCTTTGTCCAAGTAGAACGCGCCACGGTGATAGTATTTCTGCAGGAACTTGTACTTCCCCTTGGCCGCCTTGTTAGTGATCATTTTGGGATTCAGTCGCGCTTCCTGCCTGCGTTCCTCCTCGGTCATATTACGGATACGCTCGATCTCCAGGCGTTCCTTCTCGAGCTGCTCCCTCTCCTCGCGATCTCGCTTGATCCTCTTAAGTTCGCGCAGCTTCCAAGCCTCGTATTCCACCTCGTCGTTCTCGTCATCCGTGCAGACGTCGTTCAATCTGCTCTCCTGCTCGGTATTGCCCTTATTACCCATCTGTGTCTCCTTCCGCACCGTCTCTTCCACCATTCTCAGAGTTTGCCTCTTTCGTTCTTCAGCTACTTTTTTCGCCTCGACCTCCGCTTGCTTCTGCCGCATCGCCTCCTTCTCCTTCTCCATCACCGTGATCCTGTCTTTCTTGCGCACGAACACGGGTTTCAGCCGCGGCCCAGTCTCCTCCTCGGAATCCGTGTACTCCTCGTACTCTGAGCTCTCCTCCGAGCTCTCGCCCGACCTGTCCTCCTCCTCGCCCTGTATCAGCTCCTCCTCCGTCTCCTTCTTGGACAGCACTCGCTGCTTCAGGGCCTCCCGCCGTTTCTCTATCTCAGAATCCGACAGTTCCTCGTCCTCGGACGAGTCGGAGCTCTCCAACTTGATCCGCTCCCGCGTTCTCTCTAACTCGATCTCGATGAGCTCGGGCTCGTGAATATGTCTGTGTCTCTCCGTGCGCACCTCGGTCGGCGCCTCCTTCTGCTGCCGCGTCAACCTTCGCAGACGCGGATCGTCCTCGTCTCTACCCCTCGTGTGCGAGTACGAGGTGATGTCCGCGACAACCTCGCCGTCGTCGTAGCTCTTGTGCACGCGCCTCTCGAGGAAGTCCTCCTCTTCCGATTCCTCATCCGAACTTACCGCTGCATAATCTGGCCGCTTACCAGAAACGTAACGATGGACCTTCACCTTCTTCATAGACAATTCTCCTGCGAATGTGAAACGGCGCTTTAGAAATGCCAAGGGAATTTGAATGGTGTCGCTACATATAAAAGTGCATCGACATCCTGAAGCACGATAGAAACCAAAGCGTGCCTTGTAAAATAAGCCTAGTATCTTTCCCTGCATTTCCCTTATAGACAAATTACCATCACTTTTTCAATATCACGCTGCAAATGTTTCTTGTCTGTTACCGCCGCTGTATCTAATTCATTGTACAAACGTGCATAATCTATGATTCTCCTAATAAGTGTACGACTTTGCACTAGACATTACAAGATAAAAAAGGTGAGCGTAAATGTTTATCATGAATCGTAGACAAAGTTATCGACTGCAATAGGCTTGTTATTGCCTTCGTATTTACGGAACATTCGGGAAATTCGTTGTAAATTTCTCAGGTGATGGCAGGAAGATTTGAAATATCCTTAAACGCGAGTGAGGATAACGAGTAAAACTTCGCCCGACCTAGACGAGGGTAAACCTAACCTTTGTCATTCTTGACGGGCACGGCGCCCGCGGTACTTTGTATCCCCATCGGTGCGGGCGCTAAGGAATTGTTCGTCACAAAATAGTCCATCATCATCTTGCTGCCGTGCACAGAAACGTGTCACTGTGATACTAAAAAAACCTGAACACAACTCGCGATAATCTCGACACAGTCAACAAGACTTGCAGGGCGGCCGACCCCGCTGAGCTGACGGAAAAGGCGACGCGAACGCCCTCTGAATCCGCGAAACTCGACTCAGCGCTCTGAAGTATGTCGCGGCAGCGATCCACGTGACCTACAGTCGGTAAAGAAGGCTGCTGCTTTATTAAAAATTGCTCGGTGCATTTTTATGCCCTTTCCATATCAACAATGCCTGTTCTACACCTAGAGATGATCCTACCTACTTGTGGCTCATTCGACACCCCTTCTATACCTATTACCTTTTAGTTAATCCTACTTGCGGCTTATGGCCCGGTTTCACCAACGCGAGTTAATCTAATCGGTCCGTTAACTTAACAGGGTGCCAACATAAAACTTCTTTATTAACCTATTTTCTTGGTTAATAAAGAAGTTTTATGTTGGCACCCTGTTAAGTTAACCGACCGATTAGATTAACTCGCGTTGGTGAAACCGGGCCTATCTATAAAGAATCCAGCGTCGAGCGTCAAATCTGCAGGTCACGTGATTACATTTGACGCTCAATCTATGGAGGAGCAAATAGCGCGTCGAATAGCCAGCGTCCATGCTTGTTTGAGCGTCAATGGAATCTATCCGTATTTTATTGTATTGTTTTTCAATTGGCACATTTTTGATAATATAAAACAAACATAATATTCTATAATAAAAAATTACTTTCAGGTAAGACATATTGAGTGCAGTAAGTGACAACACGCGTCATATGTTTAGTGCATACAAATATCAGGCGTGGATTGCCGAGTGACGGAGAAAACAATAAGAAATCGAGGTTTTCTACTACAATAGATATTCCAAATGACATCGGAATCAATGGATAACATGACCTACCAACTGGATTGACTGAAATGAGCGTCGAGGGTCAAAGCTATTAAACACAGTTTATTATAGCTTTTTTTTACTCGACGCGCGAATTGCTGGGCAATTTTGCTTCTAAATGTCGAAATAATTGTGCATGATTTATCCCCTAAATTCACCCAGCAAACACCAAAGTAACAATTACATAACATCAATGCAAATGTAATATATAACAGTCATGTGTTATATTGCATTTATATTGATGTTATGTAACTGTTACTTTGCTGGGAAGATGATCAATTTTTTGGGCAAATAGATCGTTTAGAAATTTTATTCCTTAGACCGCAGGTTTTGGCGAATCACCTTAATGCAATCATTGTGAAATTTCCTCTTAGATAATGCACTCATTACACAATATTTGAGACATTTTCAAAACGCCGCGAGACGTTGGCGCAAGACAATGCCGATCATCGTCGTGAAGCGAGGCGATTAAACGTGACGACGAATGGCGCCCGCTGGCAGCATGGGCCGCGTTTTCTTCCCCGATCCTCCCCATAACAGAGTTGCGTCCTACCGCGCTGACGAGGAGACAGAGAGGCTGTCCGAGGTAAATCGACGCCGTTCCCGGGCGGAAACCATAACTTGTATCCGCCTCGATCTACATAAAGAGTCTGTCGATCGGCCGAGCCTCGGGCGATCGCCGGTCATGCCTCTCGTCGCGCTCTTATTCTGTAATATCGCAATCGCAAGTAACGCTATCGAGAACAGTTATCGTTAGGTGTCGGACAAAAGTACGCCTTTCTCGGGCATTAAATTTATAAACTACGCGAATGTTCACGTTACGACATTGCGGAGAGACGACTGCGAATGGAGAGAGAGAGAGAGAAGCGATTGCGAGGTATCTCGATAACGGAGAAGAATCGCGAAGTCAAAACATATGTATAGCTGCGTAAATGTGCCCGTAATGATTGACTCGATAACGAGCGCAAAAGTGAGAAATTATTGATGCCAGTGGACGTTTTTACAGTCGTTACTGCTACAATCAATAATGACCTGAATAGTTGCACATTATTGCGATCGTTAGCGACGTGGTCGTTAGCGGCATAAAACGTTTATGTAATAATGTTCCGAGTCGAAAAGAACGATCGGCCCTTTTCGTTCTGTTAAACCTTAATCTACAATGTGCTCTCTACATCTAGAAATATTCTATTTCATACTTTGTACAACGTACAATTGTATAACCCACGCAGCAAACATGTAAAGGTATCTAGGAAATATCTAAATATTACAATATCTGATGCAAAAAACTATTCAGATACCGCTTGGATATCTGAGCGATGTCTTCCAGATTCTAAAAAGTCATAACTATTTCATCTGAGATATGATACCTGATTGTCTACAGTGAAATCGAGTTTAACATATCACAGAATAGACAATGTGGTCAGTCCCGGCATAAATTAAAAAGGAGCACGGCCTCCATAAATCAGCCTTTACTTTTTTTTTACCATTATTGTAAACTCATTTAAGACTCATTCACTTTAAGACGAGATCTGCCCCTGCGAGTATCGCTCGTAATATCTGCATTCAATATTGCATCTAGAGCGTAATGTTGAGTACAGATTTACAATACGTCCGTAACTGATCGCATTTTTTATGTACGAGACATATATATATTTCAAGGGCGAATATACACGTATTTTAATAGAAGCTTAAACAAAATTATCTAAATTCGAGTTACAGTCACGAGTACGTGACGCGCACGATGAAGAAGGCCGCGGCGGACTCGTCGTCGCAAAGCAAGATCGGAGACAATAACCAGACAGATGAGGGAGATTTAAACTCGACGTCGCGCCATAATGAAGTTCCCGCTATGCAGCAGCAGGCGCACTATACGTGCTCCTTGTACATCTCGCGTGCTGGCAGCCTTCGAGATCAGGGCCATGGGATTCCAGGTGACACGCCGCGATATTTGCCGCATCCTGAAGATGAGAAATGCGTCTCTGCGATTTAGATCGTAGCTCGTCGAATGGCAACTCGTTCCGTTTAATTAGTAATATGAGACAGCCACCCAGCGAACGTTCAACTAACAGCTGCAGTTTCACAAACGTCGGTTAACTGTTAACCAGAGTTCAGTCGACTCCCGATCTTTTTCCATCTTATTATTTAAGAAGGGGCAGAGAATTAATTAATCTCCGGTTAGCAGTTGACCGACGTTTATATTACAAATAGTACAATTTCCTCAATATAACTGTTATACAGCATATGTCATATTACATTTGTTTTTGAGTGGAAAATTATATTAATAATATTACATATTAATTATATTAATGTTATGTAAAACTGTTGGTTGCGTGGTGTGTACGGGGTAATGTAATTATATCTAATATCTAATAATTATGGAAATCTACGTTCGACGTATAACGCCGGCTGAATAAAAAGATCCAAATAAGCGAGCGTCAACGACTCCGTTGATCTCGTTTTAGATGGACATTTAATCGGTCATTCCTTGACCAGATTGCGAGCTGCTACGGTCTCATCTCGAGGAAGCTATCGCCGCCTGCGAACCGCTATCAACGTGGCGTGTCACTGAAACTCCGTGCGGTCTTATAGCCGCTTTCGTGCGAGAAAACGACGCCGAGAAACTCTTGCAGCGCGGCGACCTAGCTCGAGCGTTCGGGGGACCTGTGCAAGTACGAGTTTGCCTTGCTAAAAGTAGCTTCCACGCGACGTTTCTGACAAGAGATAAAAAAAATGAAATATTGCGCGAAAACTCGTCGCACATTTTGTTGTTGTTGGCTACGTCGTCAATAGTGAACGAAATGTCAATTCTCCTGAAATATCTATGAGTAAAATCTAAAGTATCTCTCGGCTTGTATTTTACTTCCATCCAAATAGCGCGATTCTCCGCAGGAAATTTTTGATATCGTCAATTGTGAGCGTCAATTCTCAACTAAATAATATTCTGCTGAAGTATCTATGAGTAAAATCTAGAATATCTTTTATTTTATTCCATCCAGGTAGCGCGATTCTCGGCAAGAGATTCTCGATATCGCCAAGCCGTGCTTCTGAGAGACGTGCCGTGGGCTATACCGCTGGAAGACATAAATTCGGCTCTGGCGAAGCAGGGAATTGTCGCCGCGAATGTCGAACGTTCGCGACAATTTGTTCGAGTAGAGGTAATTATTTTCCATTTTAAGTCCGATAACACCTTATCGTCTTGATTAGGGGACTACATATTACAGGAGAATACTATTTATGAGACCGTAAGTACACTAATTGAGAGCAACGAGGACACCGACTGATATCCGTTTCTATTCGGACATTACTGAAGCATAAAATGAATATATACATGTTATTTGAAGTACGAAGACGATATTGTTATTTAAATTTGCACAGAAATGCATAATGCTACGTAATTCTAAACCGGTTCTTGAAATGGAACCTATAGAATAGCTACGATCCTCAACCGGTTTTGAAAGTCAACTTTCGAACTATTTCATTAGCAGTCGGTAGTGTTTAGTATAAAACAAAGAACTAAGATAAATACGTCGAGATAGAAGCAAGTCTGCCGCTATAAAAATCGTTAACACAAGCGCATAAAATCCATACGCGTGTAGTAAATGTAACGTATTGTGAATAAACGTTTGATGCGGGGGATATTTATCGAACTTTCGTCGCCCAGGTTTTCGACGCGGGTCATTACGAGGCCTTGCTGCGCCAAGGTCTGGACTTCTTCGAGGTGGCTCGTTTCAATGCCATTCCAGAACGCTGGTGGCGCGGCAACGGTTGCGGCGCCGCGTGCTCGTCCGGTATACCCGCGCGGCACGCAACGGGGAACGACGGTGGCAACGTTCCGGAGGCGTATCAAGATGCCGTATCGCAAGCAGTGGCGGACAGCGTGTTGCAGTGTTACCGATGTCAGGGTTTCTGGCACATGGCCGCTAATTGCAGGCACTTGCCGCGCTGCGTCCGTTGCGGCGAGCCGCATAGCGTTGAATTTTGTCCACGGCCGCGCAACAACCCCATATGTTGCCACTGCTCCGGGCCCCACCACGCCGGTAGATCCTTTCCTTTCGTCTAGACTCTAGCGGATTCCCTCTATCGCTCGTCTCTCATCAATATTCATTACGTATATCCATGATGAAAGCTAACGAACAAAGTAATATCACTGTAATGAGGTGTGTAATTTGATTGTATCAGAAAAACTTGCTTATACATTTAAATGTGTTTCCTGTATTTAATGCAATCTCTGGTAATCTGAGTAATCGCTTTGTTCCTTGACTCTTGTCGATAAATGTTAGCCAAATGATTATGCGAAATGTCCCCACAGTATGGAAGCGTAAGACACTGGCGGATCGAAAAAGTCGATTTCTTGTCGTTACGAACAAAAAAAAACGCGAAACGTGAAAGTCAACCGTAATTCGTTCCGGAAATCGAATCGCGACATGGAAGAAATTACGGTACAAGTTACCTCGCGTGTCGCGATAGCAAATTTTCCCGTTTATTAATCATAGATGTAACAGCGTTGAGCAACTTGAAAACGGAAAATGCGACGAGAAAGAGCTAATTTCTCGCCGTAACATGTGGAACTCGTTTAGAATTCACTCCGAGAACCGAGCCGAAGCCTCTACCTACTTGTATAACAATTGCTTGGTCGCGCGAGCCGCCTTGTACTTACCCTAGTAGCACAGTGCATTGGCTAAACATTGGTCCAATGTTGGTTATATTAGAAATGCATTGATCGATATTGTCCAACGTAAAGCCAATATTGGCCATGGAATAATTGTAAATATTGCACGATAATAATTATATAATATTACATTTATATCGGAAGTGTATTGGCCAATATTTAACAATGTAATAAGAATATTGGTCCAATATTGATATAATATTACGCCAATATTGCTAGACGTATTGGCTAAATAAGAGAAGGCGTCCATCTCACAATATTGGACCAATATTGGGAATACTACACAGAAAAAGAGAATATTCTTCTTTTGAAAATGTTTAGTTTCAACGTGAAAATCCTGAAATGAGATTATATTGCGTTAAAGGAAGGAAAACTTACTTGAATGAAGCAATTTTATATAGCACTTAAATAAGGCTGTAATATTGTTGAAATGTAAGATTATTACATGCTTCTAAGAAGATTATAGATTGTTGCGTATATACAGAACAATGAACGCGTTAATTTGAGTATATAAGAGTTGACGAGATACTTCCTTTCTGTGTAGATTTACATTATTTCCCAATATTGCGCCAATATATTGTGCTAGTAGGGTAAATCGTGATAACAAATCATTTCTATTTCCACCCTATCACCCGCCACTGAGGTCCACATGTATTATTGAAATTACCGGTACGTTACACTCGCACGCGGGCGCGGCTATAATGCTCTTACATTTTTTATTACAGGATATAGACAATGCCCGGTAAGATTGCAGCTGTCTAACGCGACTCCCGTGAGCATCACGTTGAGCGCGAGCCGCACGAGGGGAGTTCAATATCCATCAGCGAGCGCTACGAAGTCGAACCCCTCGTGCCACTCTCTGAGACAAGGCCACTGCTGAATCGTCCATGTTTACCCAGCAAAATTACAGAGAAACGGCGAAAGCATATGATTTTCGAAATGTCAGTGGACGCGCAGTAACATCTCTCCGCGTTGCGTAATAATTTATCATCGCGAGCGACGAGTGAAATTTCGTGATTCGCCACACCGAGAGAATGTGAAAACACGTCGGTAATCGCATCGTCATCGATATGAAAAGAAGACGCTCTCCCGCCGAGGCGCTCCTTCGACCGCGAAAAAGGTCGCGGATGCCATACGATTTATATATTAGACTCAAGTTTTGTTTTTTTTTTAAGATTTTCACCTTTTAAGACGCCTTTCGCCTTTTCGGAGACACTATTGGGGCTTTTTGTACGCTTTTCTAGACTTTTACATGCAAAATACATGGTTTTTTTACAAACGTCAAGTGTCTTTCGGCAAATCTCGTCCGCGATCGCGAGGAAATCTAACGAGTCACTCGCTTTTCTCTCCTCCTCAAGCTTGAAGGATTCTGCGAACTTGCAGTTACTACCCGCGGAATCGTATTCCGCCGTTTCGTCCCACTTTCTTCGTCCTAGTCCTGCAAATGTAGGTCTCCCCACTAGCGTCTGCCTGCTGCTACCACCAGGTAATACCGCGAGATCGCGGGAGAGGGAAGTTATACGCGGGTGTCATACCGTCGCTCGCACATTTGGTCATTCGATCGGTTACTCGTTCGGTCTGTCCACGTACAACCGATGGACGGGCGGTGTACTATAATTATAGACACACCGTTTGTGCGCGAGAAGTCCGACCGGTCGATCGGTTCTCGCGAACGCGAACGGCTTCGGGCGAGTTAAGGGTGTTAGCTTAATTTTTTTAATAGACAGTTTTTGTACCGGGTCAAGAGTATATCCGCGCGTGAAATTTTCCGCCGTTTCTCTTCCGTAAAAGTCCATACATGTACCATGTGCCAAACGAAGTACCGACTAGCGCGACGGGGTAAGTTCGGTTTCGAAGGGACCGATTCGTGATGTGAGAGTGCTATTTTCTTTATTTTATAATCCTCGTCGCACATCCTGCAAGTAACCGGATAATGCGCTTTAGTGTTTGCATCGAGGATTATCAAGCGCAAAGAGACTTTACGCGCCGTAAAAGCGATTTCTGAAACATACAATATGAAAATTTTAAGGAAGCGTAAAAGCGAGTAATGTGCGGCGATTACAAATTTCGTTTGATAACTGCGCGTATTGTATTATAGTATTTGAAGTAATTAGCAAGTGGGACGAAGACATGTGGATCCACAACAGATCACCCCTTTTCACGTTAACTGACGAGGCACGAGTCTTGTGAAAATTACAATCCCTAAACGCGAAATATATTTTGTACCTTTATTAGTCTCGATATAGTTTACGAGACAGTTTTTACGTCGTGTCTACTCGTACGGAGTTATGCGGACTCCACGTTACACTTGACCGACAGCGTGACAAAACGAAAAGAGGATCGATAGTTTGAAGGAAAAAAGATGTATTCGGTGTGCTTGACGGTTTTCCTCGTCGTATCGATATGCAGCTTGACCGCACAGCAGCCAACGTTCTTCAGAAACACGTTCAAGGGGTTGAGTGGTCTCGCGCCAAGCGCCGTCGCGCTCGCCAAGGACGAGATACGAGCGGTTTATTATCACGAACAGACGGTGGCGGTGGTCGATCTTGGCCCGAGAAATGAACTCCACGATTGTAATATAATCGAAGTATAGTAAGTGGCCGCCACAATAAGCCGCTATATAATTAGACTGGATCGAAACCGGTTTTCACTGGTTGATGTACTTAATCGTCATTCCCTTTTTCACAATCGTGCGCAATATTTGACACGCATCGTTGACTCTTTCAGCGATCCGTCCGAGGCTATGGAGGTTTTGCGAAACTTGTCTATGACTTTGCGCCCGCAAGTAGTGTCCTTCCCGGAGATAACGAGGCTCATGCAACAATGCGAGTTATTGGACGGCCTGCAGGTGGAGGCCACGTCCACCTTGCCCACAAACGCATTGAGCAGAGGGTCCCGCATAGCCGCGAGCTCCATCACGCTGTTATCCGGTATTCTGCCAGGTTATTCATTTATTTCACCATTTTCAAATGCGCCCGCAGTTGCGCACAATTGCAAATTTCTTAACAAAGACTTAACATGTACTCCAGGCACAAAATGGTGCGGCACGGGCGACATAGCCGAAAATTATCACGATTTGGGCGACCTACCTCACATTGACAGGTGACTTTTGAAATATCGAGCTTATTTTTACAGCTTATTTTCAAAGATATTGGAATGATAAATTTTCATGCTTTCTAGATGCTGTCGCAACCACGATCTCTGTCCAATAAAAGTGCGAGCTCAACAGACCCGATACAACCTCACTAACTACTCGCTGTACACTAAGTAAGATTTTATCAATCAATTCATTTTAAAATAAGTTTTTAAAACTAATGTGTCATATTATATTAATTACTAAATTTCTTTATGTTTTAAAATTCTCTCTATCCTGTTAACGTCTCAAAGTTATCTCTGTAAGAGTTATCAGTCTCGAGTGTTTAACTTTTTACAGATCACACTGTACTTGCGACCAAGCGCTTTACCACTGTCTAAAATCTGCCAATCATCCAACGGCGAATTTGATGGGGACGATATATTTCAATATTGTCAAGGTGCCGTGTATAGAAGACATAGGAAGAAATCTGTATTCTTCCCCGGATGCATTAAGAAAATTTGTACCTGTGAAACGGGTGTATTAACTACAGGCTAATTAGCAGCGTATACAGGGTGTCTGATAAAAAGTAGCCAATTTGAAAATACTGGTAGATTGGGTCAAAACCAAGACGAAAAGTCATGTGCCGTGTTGCAAAATTCGCAATAGGTATCGAGTAATTTACACGTCTGAGCGAATGAGTACGTAGGATACGGTAGGCCGGACTTGGAAGGCATGTAAGAAAATCGATCGACGAGCGGGAGGTGGAGCGAGATACACCGTGGTGGGAAAAAATAGTGAACGCGGCGGCGAGCGACCCGAGACATAAGTTCGGCCTACCGTGTTCTACGTGCTCATTTGCTTAGACGGATAAATTAAAGACTCGATAACTATTGCGAATTTTGCAACGCGACACATGACTTTTCTTCTTAATTTAATCCAATCTACCACTCTTTTCAATCTGACTACTTTTTTATCAGACACCCTGTATAAGTAAAGTGTGTTGTATTCAGAAACTATGTGTATATATGCTCCGTCCAACGCTACATAAAATTAATATTTAGAATTATATTACAATCAAAAGACACTGTAGATATATTTTTATATTTACATCATTATAAGTTATTTTTATAAGTTTAATGTACCTTTCTTTAAAGATGTCGTTTCAACGCGCATTTGTATTCATACAGAATGTTCAACTGAGGAAAAAGCCTGCTTCAGTGCCGATAAAGAGGGCATAAGATCTCTTATATTTTGACCAATATTAGGTGATTTATGATTATACAAATTCCCTGCAACAATTTATTGGAATAATCAGATCACGCTTCACTTATTTTATATCTTTAAAAAGAAAAGATCGCACGATTACCTATCAGCCACAGAGTTTCTCTTCTGATGTGCATATGAGGATGCGATAACAGTTTATTCAATAAAAGATGCAGCTCCTCGTTTGAGTATTTCGGATTCTTTAAAAGAATCTTCACTTTATCTTCGCAACAAGTATGTAGTGTGTTGGCCAGTATACGTACGGATGCTGTAATCTAAAACAGAAAGGAAACTAAAAATATGATTCTTAGCATTTTCGAAATTTCCATATTTTGTTGTACGAAGGAGAAAGAGCAAACCTCGCTGGCTCGAGTCATTCCATCTGAATTGGAAAACGTTAAGTAAAGATAATCAACGACTTCTGGCAGAATTGCGCTCAAATGTTCGGCGCATATCGGCGAAGACGACAACAAAGCTAACAGCCAAATGTAATTGGGATTTTCGTACAAAAGATTCCGTTTTACGACAACTTGAACGAGCTCCAGCATTTCGCTTTCTCTGTAAATATCAGGCAGCATATTAAATTCTGTTTTTCATTATACGTGTATTGCAATATTCGAAAGTGAAAGATACTTACGATATCTTATGAAATCCCGCGTGTACGTAATGCAAGAGCGCATATATTACGGAAGGAAGAACCGAGTCGTCGCAATTGTGCAACAGTAGGATTATATATTTCAGGCAATGTTGCGCGTGCAAAATGGAGAAAGCCTTATCGCTTCCCGCAACTAAATTACCGATTGTCCAAATGCAAACATCCTAGTAAAATATGAATTTCCATACACTTGAAGTTTCTGAACCAAGTCCACTTTTGTTCCGCTATCTTTCGCTTAATGTCAAAGACAATTACCAGCAAAGCGTAATTTAAGCTTTCCAGCTTGATAACCAGATACGGAATAACTGCTTTTCCCAGTGCCATGCAGGCCTTCGTGTTTCCCAGGGCAATGTTGCAGCAGCAATTGGCTGCGTACAATTGAAGAGTCGGGTCTCCGCCGGACAGATCGCGTACCAGGCCGGATAAGCTTTGGTCCACTTTTAAAAAGGCATTTATGTTCTCCTCCGACTGAAATGAATATAAGAGATTATACATCAATACTTTTAGTCTTCTCTTCGGTTATTGCGTCAGAGTCGCGTTTAAAAATTATATTACAAGGCTCCAACAATTTTAAACCTTCAATTTCGTCTTCTGGAAAACGGATCGGTTTTTTTTTACGTAGAGGAGTCTCCTTTTATGAGACAAGATTCTAATATGGAACAGCGGGGTTTCCGTTAAATTAACAGGCATCATCAGCTGATTTCACTATAAACTTAATTACCCTTGGAGCAAAATCTGTTTAGTGGAAAATTCATTGCTAGATCGTGTAATTGTTGTGAATAAGGATTTGTGATTGAATTTGGGTGTTGAAAACCTGTTGTCTCATACTAGAAACCTATTTCATGATAGAGGACTTTCCTCTAGTTGTGTCGTAGTAAATAAGCTACACTTGTAAATACTATTTTGTATTCAATATCGATAAAGTTGAGATGTTTAGCAAAGCTAGATTAAAATGGTAAATTTCATCAGATCGCCAGTAATGATGTAAATAAAATGTCAAATTTTAATCGACCTCAGCTGGCCACACTCATTGAATGGCCACACGCCTTCACAACGTTTCGACCTTTGGTCTAGGTCCTTTTCGAGCTGGATTACTCCAGCGAAGTAGCACACCTGAATAAGAGCATTGGGCAGGTATCTGTAATCAACGAGGGGTATCCTCTTTCTCTTGAGAAGCCTCACTTTCTCGTCGACGTGCTCGGCGGAAAACAGCTCGACCCCTGGACATTCTCCCAGGTTGGTGCGACTCCTATTCCAGGCGGACACACGACTCTCCTTCCTCTTCGTCGAGGCAGCCTCCCTCAATTCCGTTCGCAAGGTCTCGACCACGTTGCTGTCGCTCGAGCCGAGCTCCGCAGCCTCGTTTTCCCTCCCGTCGACGGTCTGCATCTCGAGCTGAATTCTATCAGCTGTTTATTACGGGCGAACGGTGAGACGCTCGTCGCAGCCTCTGCTTTGAAATCGGAGTGCCGGTGCGTCCTACTTTGATAAGTTTGATACTGCACTGACGCTACACTTGAACGCGCATGCGCGCGAATTTAAACCGCACTTGCGGAGCAGAAAGGTGTAGTATTAAGCGCGCGTTCCTAAAATTATTTAAAACAGCGTCGTCCACTTCCGTCCTCGAGAGTGTATGTACGAGGATCATCTCGAAAGACGTCTGTCTGCTATCGAAATATGTGTTTCCCATAGCTTTGATTATCTCTCGAGAATTCCAAATTCTAGGGGTTCTCTAGTGTCAAGAGGACTAGAGACCAGAAGACTCGACTCCAGCGGTGGGGGTAGGTCAAGAAATGGTCGCACTTCGTGGGCGCTGTTCGCACTCTACGGTCGAACGGCTAATTCGTGAACTATTGCGCGTCAAAGTTCGTTTACGAATTGTTCCTTGCGAGGCGTTGCGCGTCAAACAAGTGAAATCGTGCCTTAGGTGTGTTGTATTTTACGAATTGTGGGAGTAAAATGTTGGGTCCGAATAAAAGTACGTTGCACGGGTTGCACGCGTCGCTTCGGAGTCCAGCATGCGTAGAAGATGAATTGGCCGTTGGACCACACTGCGAGCAGCGCCCATGAAACGCGACCACGTTTTAGCCCGCCCCCCCCCCCCACCGCTGATTCAAGCATCGAGTCTCCCGGTCTCTAGTCTTCTTGTCTCTAGTCTTCCTCGGTCGTCGCCGCGCCAGTCACGGTGAGGCGTTTGCGACGAGCGCGACGAGCATCGTCGTTATCGCCGCCGCCGCCGCAGGCCGCAGCAGCAGAGCGGGAACAACACGGCCGCGCAACAATGGCGATGGGCAAGGGGTTTCGCGTCTACGAGAAGCTGGACTCGCCCAAGCCGCACTCGGTCATACTCGAGCAGCGGGCCCGCAAGGAGACGCTGCTCTTCGAATCGCAGGCGATCGCGGTCCTTTGTAAGTAACGATCCGCGCCGGCCGAACCTTCGCTCGTACCTTCGCATCTTCTCCGACGAGCGGGACGTCGCGATCGAACTTGACGTCGGTGACAGCCGCGCGCTGTCCCGCGCCTGCCCCGCGGTTGTTTTGTGGATCTTCAGTCGCGAACGCCGTGCGTCACTTCGCATCTTGACAACGTTGCTTTTCACGTCTCTGTACGATTCATCGTGGAGCACCGCTCCGATTTCCCGCCGCCTCTCGCAGAGCGCGACAGCAGTTTCGCGCGACGATAGTATTTATAGAAGTGTTGTCAGGTCGGCCTACAATACGCGGAGCAAGCCTGGAGTGAGGAGATCGTGCGCTTACTCTCGGTGAATCGGCACGCGCGATCGGCCAGTGCCACAAATTTTTTCGAAAACCGTGCCTGCATCTCGGCCCCTCTCACGCCAAAAGGTGGACCGGCTGCGGTTCTCTCTTGTTCCTTGCTCAAAACTCACTCCGCGTATCGTAGACCGTGTTAAGTTTGAAAACCGCGAACGCTCACGAACGTGCGATCGACTTGCAGCCGCCGAGGAGCACGAGTTCCTGAAGCCCAAGTACACGAAGTTGCTGGACGCGTACGGATGCCTGGGCGTCCTGCAGCTGAACGCGGGCGAGAACACTCTGCTCTACCTCGTACTGGTCACCGGATGCTTCTCCGTCGGCAAGATCGGCGAGTCGGAGGTGTTCCGAATAACGCAGTCGAGCTTCGTGCCCCTGTTCTACAGCCAGGGGACGGAGGACCGCGTGTCCGAGGTCAGGAAGGTCCTCAACTCCGGGACATTCTACTTTTCCTGGTCCGCCGGCCAGGAGTGGCTCGACATCACCCTGAGCGCTCAGAGAAGATGCAAATCGACGACCACGGATAACAGGTTCTTCTGGTCGGTGCAACGCGGTCGCGCGAGACGTTCTTTCAAGCTTGATCGATACAATGTGCCCTTTGCGTTTAGAAACGTTTCATTTTGCCAGATACGTTTAAAGAAATCGTCAATACTTATCAGAGTTCGTGGCATATGAAAATCTGTCGTTACGCATGCAAGAGATTGTAACGCTCGCTTCTTTTCCACTACTATGTTAGGTGTAAGCATAGCGATAAGGTCGACTGATGAAAATGATAAGAGCGACGGGGTAAAAGTGCGAGATTACCTTGCGATTACTCTGGGACGACAACCTCTTGTCGTAATTATGCAGTTGACAAATTGTACGTTATACATTGTACAATCGTGTATCGTCGACAAATCTTTTGAGCGTATTCTTTGCTTACACAAAGGGTGCGTTTGGGCGCTCGCTATCAGCGCTACTTAGCGCTAGAAAGCGTCGTTCTATCTCTCTTCGACGCGTAATTAGCAACAAAGATAGAATGACGCTCTCGGTGCTGAGTAGCGTCGATAGTGCGCTCCCGAACACACCCAAAATGGAATGTATCTAATCGCAAAGAGCGCATTGCAGATCGAGCTTTAAAGCTTAATCTACAATACTTTTTGCGATTAGAAACATTCTATTTTGTATAAGCGAATTTTATTTATCAGTCACACGTGATAACGGCCGTGAGAGTCAAGTACTAAAGAGAACAAATGAACGAACGAGTATGATATATTTAAGTTCAAATAATTTAGCAGTTCAATAATAGCGAAATTCGTACGTTTCGAACCAGTTTTTCAGTTCTTCTTCAGCGCAACGAGTCTTCAACTACACTTAATTCTCTGCGATATTCTATTCTGTACTAATTACATTAATTGCGCTGAGGAAGAACCGAGAAACGTAGTTCGAAACGCACGAATTTCGCTATTGAACCGTTTAATTATTTGAACTTAAATACTATGTACGTATTATATGCTTACTCGATCATTTGTTCTTTTATTATTTTTTGAACTTATATATTGGCTACAAAGCGGAATGTTCCTGGACGCAATTGTTGGTCGGGCTTTATAATAAAAAGCTTTCGAGATTAAATGCCTAATCCCCTGACTTATTGCAATTAGGAATCGGATGTTGCACATTCATCTATTGAGATACGGCGTGGACACGAGTCAGTGGTTGTTGAAAGCCATGTGCGGCAGCGTAGAGATTAGAACTGTCTACGTTGGAACCAGACAGGCTCGAGCGGTGCTCATGTCGAGATTAAGCTGCGAACGTGCCGGCACTAGGTAAGACCGTTTTTCTCTATTTTATGGAAAGTTATACTAACAATATGCGCATTTGCGTATTTCCTCATTCGCAATATCAGAAATTATCAGTGCTTGATAAGAGGATACGTCTCGCGTAATAAATGTAAATACATGACTAATCCGCATCGCGTGATACGAAAGATGAATTGGAACATATGGTCGGATAGAAATACGGCTCCTAGACTTCTGTTAAAAATGTGCGGAAATGGCCTGTTTGTCTAGATTCAATGTTAGAGGAACCAATGACGACGGACATGTAGCAAATTTCGTGGAAACGGAACAGGTGATCTACATAGACAACGAAGTGACGTCTTACGTTCAGACGAGGGGCTCGGTACCGCTGTTCTGGGAGCAGCCTGGTATACAGGTTGGTTCCCACAAGGTGAAGATTTCACGCGGCTTCGAGACCTCCGCGCCCGCCTTCGACAGGCACCTAGACATGATCAAGAAGCGGTACGGCCAGCAAGTTATCGTCAACCTCCTCGGTTCCAGCCTGATCGGCAGCAAGGAGGGGGAAGCGATGTTGAGTCAATTGTTTCAAACCCATCACAGTATGTCGGAACACAAGGATGTGCCGCACGTCCTGTTCGATTATCATCAAGAGTGTCGCGGCGGTAACATGAAAAATCTGTTGAAGCTGAAGGCAAAGGTCGAAAGGTACCTCGAGTCGTTCTCGCTGTTCTACGCGGCCGGCAATACCGTAATTCTCGAGCAGACCGGCACCATCCGGACAAACTGTCTGGACTGTCTGGACCGGACAAACTGCGTGCAGACGTTCTTCGCGCTCGAGATGCTGGCCAAACAGATGGGCCTGTTGAAGCTGATGGAGAAACAGCAGATGGTCTCGAGATTCGAGGAAGTGTTTCGTCAGATGTGGATCAACAACGGCAACGAGGTCAGCAAGATATACGCGGGAACCGGCGCCATCCAGGGCAGTTCCAAGCTGATGGACGGCGCGAGATCGGCGGCCAGAACGATACAGAATAATTTACTGGACTCCAACAAGCAGGAGGCGATCGATATTCTATTGTTAGGCTCGACGTTGAATACAGAACTGGCCGACAGGGCACGTCTATTGTTGCCATCCAACATGCTACACGCCGCGCCGAATCTCTTGCGGGAGGTGTGCAAGCGCTATAACGAGTACGTGGACACGATGAATCTCAGGGTGAGCATCGGTACTTACAACGTTAACGGGGGCAAGCATTTTAGAAGCGTAGTTTATAAGGATGTGTCCCTAGCCGACTGGTTATTCGATGGGCCGGGCAAATCTTCGTGTAAGTATCCTTCTGACCAGATCACTATAAAATGTACGAAAGAAAAGAGAATTTCGTAACAGATGTGCCGCGAAAGATGTTTCTTTTTATAATCCAATCTTTGTGATATCTCTTTTCAGCCTTGGTATCTGTACAGCAGCAGGACAACGTTCCCGTGGATATATTCGCGATAGGATTCGAAGAGATCGTCGACTTGAACGCCAGTAATATCATGGCCGCCAGCTCGGACAACGCCAAGGCTTGGGCGGACGAGCTGCAGAAGGTGCTGTGCAAGGACACGGAGTACGTCCTCGTGACGTATCAGCAGCTGGTCGGCGTCTGCCTGTACCTATTCATACGACCCGTGCACGCGCCGTATCTGCGGGACGTGGCGGTGGACTGCGTGAAAACGGGTTTGGGAGGCGCCACCGGGAACAAGGGCGCCGCGGCGATCAGATGCGTGCTGTACTCCACGTCCTTCTGCTTCGTGTGCGCTCACTTCGCCGCCGGTCAGTCCCAGGTGAACGAACGTAACGCCGACTACGCCGAGATCACGAGGAAGATAACGTTTCCCATGGGTAGAACCCTCAACACTCACGACTACGTGTTTTGGTGCGGCGACTTCAACTATAGGGTCGATATGGACAGAGACGACATGAAGGAATTGATCAAGCAAAACGAATTCGACCAAATACTGCAATACGACCAATTGAGGGTACTGTGTCATGTCGATTACAGAAACTCCACATTGCTTATGTTTACTAAAGTCATACGGGAATTTTCTTATCGTTGTAATATTGAAAGGTTTAAGCCTAATCTACAATGTATCGTTTGCGTCTAGAAACATTCTATTTTATATAAGGAAATTAAAACGCTCAAAAAATTTGTCGACTTGCACAAATTTTTTAAACATATTTATTGGATACGAAATAGAACATTTCTAGGCGCAAAGAGCACATTGTAGATTAGACTTTAGTCGTTGACAATACGCATTTCACGAGTCTTTCAATTTTAAGGTTCAACAGGAACAAGGCAACGTCTTTAAGAACTTCCAGGAAGGACCAATAACTTTCGCTCCTACGTACAAGTATGATCTGTTCTCGGATGATTACGACACCAGCGAGAAGTGTCGTACGCCCGCATGGACGGACAGAGTTTTGTGGAAGCGTAGAAAGCAGATACCCGATATTGGTTGGTTTTCTCCTACCATATGTACATTTATCAGACCAGAAGTGGATGATAAGTATAATTGTATCAATTAAAAATGTATGTTTTAGACTCGCCTACAGATTGGAATTCAGGGAAGCTCGTTTATTACGGTAAGGCGGAATTGAAGCAGAGCGATCATCGACCAGTACTCGCGACGATTGATATAGACGTGCACTGCGTCGATTCCGAGAAGCGCGAGCGCGTGTTCAAGGAAGTGATACAGGATCTGGGTCCACCCGACGGCACGATAATAGTCAAGGCGGTGGAGGACGTCGAGGACATGGACAGCGTGTTCGACAATAATCTTATGTTCGCGCTGATACAGGATCTGTCTCACATCGGCGAAGCGATCTTGGTGCGTTACGTCGGCGAGACTATCTGGGTGACGTTCAGGGACGGCCAGTGCGCCCTGGCCGCGGCGAAGAAGGGCATGACGCAGGTGTGCGGTCAGACGTTGAAATTATCGCTGAAATCGCCCGACTGGGTGGAGCAAATCGAGAAGGAGATCGAGATCTGCAGCAACACCACCGTGGCCCAGTTCACGGCGGATTCGCCATTGAGAAGTCCCATGCAACGATTGGAACAGTTGGAGATCGCCGAGCGGCCGTCGCCCAGCCGGGGCAGTCCGAACGGCGTAATGCCACCGCCGAGACCAGCGCCACCGGGTCGACCCTCCCAGCCACCGAAGAGTCCCGCTCACGAGCGAAAGCAGGTACCGCGAGCCGGCGTCTTCAGTGTGATCCCCAGCCAGTTTGCGCGTCCGGTGACGCCTCCGGTTGCGGATGCAGTGGAGGATGATCGGCAAGACGAGAGACTGTCCCCGGACTCTGCCATCTACGAGGAAATACCCGACGGCTCGCCCAGCTATCCTGTACCAAATCGACCGCCGCCGCCGTTGCCGCGTATGGACGGCGCTCAGGAACCACTGAGCAGACCACCGCCCAGCTCGGTGCCTCCCCCGTTGCCGCACAGACAAGCCCCGCCACCTCCGCAGCATCCACCGCCGAGCTTACCCCCGACAAACGCTCCACCGCCCGTTCCAGCGAGAACCACCGGTGGGCCGCCTATTCCAGCCAGGAATCCTCACTAAAACAGGGACGCAAGTAGATAGGATGCATAAATGAGACGCATATCCTGTTATAGGCCAGACTTCCGCCGTACGTTTTAGTATTAATCTAGTACGTGTGATTATTTATGAGATTAAACGACGAGACGACGGTAGTCGACGAGTCTTCACTTCCAAACTGACGATGAGTTCTAGATCCGCGTAGCGTAGTTAGGAGTCCCCCCCCCTGTATCTGTTCTGTGATTACTCTGAAAGTGATTGGTAGTCGTCACGAATCGGAAGTAATTGCAAGTTATTTTCGATCTCCGATCGCGCGTGCGTAATTAATTGTAGATTTGTACTCGTAGATCGTTCTTGAGCTTATCGAACACCGTATTTTGCGTTTCCACGTTGGTGATAATATAATCATGTTGATCTGTTCTCGCGCGATGGCGCGTGGGAGCCCATTGTTTTCGCTCCGGATGTTTAAAGCGGCGCAAATGGCTATTGTTTCGAAAATCTAATCGATTTATAACTGTTGACGTGTTCTGTTTACACAGAATTTAAAATGTATATTCAGAGCCCGTTGAAATCGTAAAATTATATATCACGAACACGTTAATGTAATCATCAGAGTTTAAACGGCGAGATACTTGCGGTAATAATGTTATAGTTGTCACTGCTTGTATTGTATTTAATAACTTAAGATGTAAACTCTCAATGTTAGAATCACTTTTGAGGTTTAGGAGTCTCTTCGCGGCATCTCAGTAGCGTAAAACTACCAAAAAATATACAACTACGGTAAGACGAGGAGCGAACTTAATTTTACAACCAATCGTGTGTACAGCATGACGCGGCAGAGGGAAAAGAGGTAGACTCAAACACAACAGTATTCTCACGGATGTGAGGTAAGATATTTTCTTATAATTATCCACCTGAAATTCCCCTTTCTCGCACGCGGTGCTGAAGGTGGCTAATTCAACTAATTTAAGGTCATCCTGTAATTATACGTTTCGTCTTACATTTCTCTCTCTTTTTTCTCTTATTTTAAAGTTCCTATACTTTGCATTCCATTAAAATTTGTGAAATGTCCGTCCCCATGGGTCCAACGCCCGCCTATATATTTTTTTAATCTTTATTTTTATTCTCCAGGGAACATAGTATCGCGTTTCCTATTCTGCGTGATACAGATATCCTGCGATTTCGACCGTCACGTTATTTATGGAGTGAACAACGAATGTGAATTAAGTGAAGAATGAAGTTCGTACACTCGCGTCATAATTTACGAGAAAATATGTATGATATGGCAGTCAAGATGCTAATTTATAGGTATTTCCCAGCAAGGTATCATAGACGAAACGGTGCAACATTGTGCTCAACACGAAGTGTTTCGACTGTAACAATGTCGCACTGCTCGCTACACTGTAAAACTCTAACTACAAGCGTATAAAATGTCCTCGATATCCTCCCAACGTTTCAAAGAAGTTTACGTTTAACGTGAATGTGCTCGTTTTTAATATAAATGTGCAATTAAAAAATTTTTTAATTCTCTAAATTTCCGTTTCCTTTTTACTAAAAGATAAAAATGCTCGAGATAAAAGCTGTTGTGTAACAAGTGTTATATTATACTGCAGTTTTTATTATATTAAAATAAATGACTAACAAGAAAAAAAATCTGTAAACTGTGGCGAGATATTTTCAGAAACTAAGCCTTCCCAACTGTTTCAAATATCATGCACGACGCGATGTTGTCTTGCTGGGAAATACCCATTATAAATTGTATATACTCCTGTTTAACCCGCCCTTAATTCTCATCACTTCCAGTTCAGTTACGTAAAAGTGGCTCTAATCGCGAGAAAGCGGACGTAAATATACGTGTAAATTAATATAATAAAGATGGTGTAGAGCAAATGTAAAGAAAAAATTCTTTCCGATGCACACTTATAATACATGTACAATACGGGTTTCGTCCTGCACCTCGGTAACGCGCACTTTTTCACGCTTGCGTGCGTAGTTGATGCGTTTTATCAATTAGATCGATCCTCACCTGTACAAGATGTAAAACATTGGACATGTGTATATATGTATTGAATGGTCTAATAAAGAGATCAGTCGGGAACGGAAAAGCAAGTCGGCTCTTAAAAAAAGAAGAGATTTCATTTATTGATCTAAACTGTATAAAGAGATTTGATTTCGACTTGTCTTGTGCACTAATGCTAACGTCATTACGTTGTTTGGCAAATCGAGTAAAAACGGCGCCCTTCGGTCTCGTTACTTATTAATACGTATATATAAAAACAAAGGGAAGCTTGTACAAAATTTTTTTCTCAAATTGATAAATACGCTGTAAAACAAAGCTTCCTCCATGAGGAAGCAAAAAGAAGCACAGAGAGCTGTGTTCGATGTCCGTCAAGATGTTGAATTTCCATTTGTCATTAAAACGCAAAGTAGATATGAGACGTATTTTTTTTCACTTAGTACGTAATCACTTTTAGCGTAATAAATTATATACAAGGAAATATCACTAAATTAATAGCTATCTAGTTCTTGGTTAGTATAGTTAAATACATTTAGCAGAAACAAAGCAACATTTCTGACCTTAATCGGGAGTAAGTGAACAATATGTTTCATATATTTAACATTATCGCCTCGAATTCCTTTTTTCTTCTACGCACTGTCCGAAAGTATTGCTTTCGTCTCGTAGAATAAAACACAGTTAATAAAGACTTATTAACCTAAAGAAAGATTAATAATTACGAGGAATAGAAATCGTTTCAAAAACTTAATCAGATCAATGTATTATGTTAATTAATTTCCAAAAATAATTACTGCACATTTAGAAACAGTGCGCAAAAAAAGCATTCTTGACGACAACGCAAAATGCTGTAGCTTGATATCCGACTCCCGAATACTTTGAATACTTTGTTCGTAATTGGAGAACACTTCGTTGTCTAATCGCCGAACGTAAGATCAATAAGTTAAGGAGTAACACACTCGTACTAAAAGTCCAGGTAAATTTGCGTACAATTTTTTTTACAACAGACGTTTCGTTAAAGACTATAGGATCGAGCAGAGTTACATGATACCGCGATAAAATAATCCAAGAGCCTAATGTGTGTGTATGTGTGTGTGGGTGTGTGTATGTGTGTGTGTGTGCGCGCGTGTGTGAATAAAATCCTCGCATAATTAATATATATTCGTGTCTACGGATATGTTTTTCTTAGAACTTCCAATCAGTCTCTGCTCCCATGCATTCGCGAAGATCAACGTGAGTCGTCAATGTGTTAAAATACATCCTTTCTTGTTCGATAGTTTGCTGATCGAGTATTGGAATGTTTAACTCAGTAATCCGCAATTACTCAAGTTGTTTTTGATTATTACGTCGGTCACGGCATCGAACACAAACTGTATATTGGACGTATCTGTGGCGCACGTGAAGTGCGTGTAGATCTGCTTCTGATCCTTCCTCTTGTTCAGGTTCTCGAACTTCATCTGAATGTAAGAGGCGCACTCCTCGTAAGTGTTGGCGCCCTTGTATTCCGGGAAGCAGATGGTGAGCGGGCTCCTGGTGATCTTCTCCTCGAACAGGTCTTTCTTATTCAAGAACAGTATGATCGATGTCTCGACGAACCACTTGCTATTGCAAATCGAGTCGAACAGTTTCATCGATTCTATCATTCGATTCATCTCCTCGTCCTCCGCCAGCACTAGATCATAACCGCTCAGAGCGACGCAGAAGATGATCGCGGTGACGCCCTCGAAACAGTGTATCCACTTCTTTCTCTCGGACCGTTGGCCGCCAACATCAAACATTCTACAAAGAGGAAATAATATAGCATATCCTATCTCGAACTTTCCTAGTTACAATAAAATATTTTCTTATATTAAAATCGTTGCGTCTTGGCGACATAGGCTTTATTTAAATAGACAATAGTATTGCATGTATACTAAATGCACGTTATTAGCACTAAAAGCGTCTTCTATCTTTGATATATAATGAACAACGAAGATGAACTGATGGTTTTAGTACTAGTAGCGGCTCCGCGAAATTTAATATAAATTTTTGTAAAAATTTCTTACAACGCATATATGTATATGTTTATGAATTTGTTCAATGGTCAATCGCAATTTGATTAAATTATCTTTTCTGGACAATAATGTGCTAAGATATGCAGCGTACTTGAAGTGTAAACCCTTGAAAGAAAAATGCGTCTCCACGATTCCGGTGGTTTTGACGCGCGTTCGCAGAACATCCTGCTGCGTCGGGATGTAATTGTGCTGCGTTATACGGTCAAGTGCGTTAAGGTAGTACGCTGCCGAGTCGTTGAGCTGGTATTCCCTACTACGCGAGAAACAGAGCTGCAGTCCCGGGTCCTGCCATAATCGCTTCATTAATAGCACTAGTTCCCCGGTCAGCTCGCCCTCCTCCGCCGCCGATGCTAGGGTGAAAAATTGTCGCGCCATATCCTACAACGCGAAACAAGGCCGATTATTAATATAATGTGCCAGTGGGGCACGAGAAAGTTAATAATGCGCGATATCATTAGATTGACCGAACAGATTCGCCTTCTACCACACAATTTGCGAATAAAACTACCCTTTCTGATAAGTTACTCTTTTAAAAAAATGAAACCAAGAGGACTGTCTTCTAGTCGAAAACAAGTGTATCGAAGATAACGATTGCGATTTTGACAAACAGAAGATGACTCAAATTGTCGCGTTTTTAATTGTTTTTTAGAACGACGAATCTTTCGCGACGATCGAGAGCAAGATGCGAGGGACTTACCGCTTTACTAGGTTCGGCAAAGTCGATTCTAAGGTCACCCATGGCCCTAATTATTGTCATTAGACTTTGTATCGTGTTGCTGTACACCACTGGGGTGTATTGCTCGCACTCCTCTTTACTGTAGCCGGTCTCGTGAATAATTTTCATTTGCTTCACTATTGTAGACTTTCCGGACTCCCCAGCACCTTGAATTTTAACCAGGCATGTGTTATATACGTACACGGTAGAAAACATTTTGTATTTATATTGAAATTTACTGGTTAAATTTTTAACATACTCTTAATGTTAATGTAACATATTATAGTTGTTACTTTGACTTTGCTGAGTTGAGTTAATATTCGCCGTTTTTAAAAGTTAAAACAACACAATTAATACGTGTAAATGCATGAATTTTTGATAATACATTTTATGTTAAAAAGAACTGCATTGTCGACATCATAAAGAGCATCGACGTGTTTTTATATCGCCTATCAGTGACTCATCAAATAGTTGATCCGAATTTGGTCATTTTACCTTATATAGTATATGACAATATCCTAGTACCACAGTGCATTTAGCCGATATTGTCCAACGTAAGACCAATATTGGAATAAATGTAAGTATTTAACGATAATAATTATATTAGACATTAAAAATTTTTAAGGACAATAGTGTTACGAGCAGTGTTCAGTTTAATATAACAATAAAATTAAGATGTTTAATAATTAAGCGCGTAACATAGTTATCTTACTCTAACTTAAAATATAAGATGACGCGTTTACATAACATCTAAAGATGTAGTAACAAAAATTAATTAAAATTTAAACTATACAATATTAGATTTATATTGGAAGTACATTGGCCAATATTTAACAATGCGATAAGAACATTGGTTTAATATTGATACAATATTGATACAATATTAGACCAATATGGCTAAATAGACATATCCTATACAGCACCGAAGCTTTCAGAAACATTTCAGAAACATTGCAACAATGCTGTATGAGATTAGCTAAGTAAGAGAAGACATCCATCTTATAATATTGAAAATACTAGATTTACATTATTTACCAATATTGTACCAATATTTGTAGGTATTGTGCTGCTAGGGTAAAAATGAGGATTTAATACGCTCAACGATTACATGCATAATTACGTTGAACGCATGTTATGTTAGATCCCCGCGAGAAAAGACTCGTCGATTGATGTCGAAACGACGTCGATTCGACATCAATTTGACGGTGTTGATGTCGATTCGATATATCATTTCGACAACGATCGACGAATCGTTTCTCACTGGAGATATTATTGTGCGGAACGGTATCAAATTTAAATGAGGTACGCGATTGTTTCTCGATCGAGAAAGCGAGCCTTCCTTGGCGCAATAATTAAAATCGCCGTCGTGCCGTGCATTGTTAGCGCCGCGATTCATTTAACGCGCGGCTCTCGCGGGCTGTTTTCGAATCGACGCGAGTCTGTGCAAAATACTCGAGGGCTCCGCCAGACGTTCAACAAGCGGGTCCAATTAACCGATTAATCATCGGCGCTTTCGATCGTCCGATTGACGATCGGTTCCGCCAATCGTCACGGATACACGTTTTTCCCCCTCCTGAGAGAGAAACGCTCTCTTCCTCGAGCGAGACGGAGATAATTCCGCGCGATCTCGGAGACGTAATCTCGTGATTCACACGCGGCCGATGATTCAAGTTTCCCGTAACGCCGCACTCTGCGTCCCCGTTCGCGCGTCCTCTTCGTTCGTGAACTTGGAAATTTTCCGCACGCGTCAAATCTGAACAATATCCGGATTTTTAGTGTTGGTATTAGGTCAATGCTCGTTTAACATTTGGCGATAACGACAGACAAGTTCGACAAATTGCATATTGGAGGAAAGTCCTCTATTATGAGACAAGAGTCTAACGTGAGACAGTAGGTTTATTGTCCTGGAGCTTTGTTGTCCCCAGCAGCACAATATATTGGCGCAATATTGGGAAATAATGTAAATCTAGTATTCCTAATATTGGTCCAATATTGTAAGATGGACGCCTTCTCTTATTTAGCCAATATGTCTGTTTAGCAATATTGGTCTAACATTGGATACAATATTCCTATTATATTGTTAAATATTGGCCAAAGCACATCCAATACAAATCCAACATTATTTAATTATTACCGGGCAGTATTTACATTTACTCCGTGGCTAATATTGGCTTTGCGTTAGACAGTATCGGCCAATGCATTTCTATCACAATACAACCAGCAATGGGCCAATATTTAGCCAAAGTGTAGCCAATGCACTGTGCCCAGGGTTTTGTATTAGATTACTACGCATACAGCACCAAAGCTTTCAGAAACATCTCAGAAAACATTGCTGCAATGTTGCAATGTTTTCTGAAATGTTTCTGAAAGCTTCGGTGCTGTGTGGGTACGTTCAACGTTCTGAACACCTTTAACATTTTACGGGAGAGAACTGCCAAGTCAACTTATTCAATACAAAATTTAATACAAAAAGAAATTAAGCTCCAAAACTTAATTATTTTCAAACATTGTTGCAATGTTGCAATGTTTTCTGAAATGTTTCTGAAAGCTTCGGTGCTGTGTGGGTACGTTCAACGTTCTGAACACCTTTAACATTTTACGGGAGAGAACTGCCGAGTCAACTTATTCATTACAAATTTAATACAAAAGAAATTAAGCTCCAAAACTTAATTATTTTCGAAAACTGACAGTTGGGACGCGACATCGGCTCCACCGACGTCGATTCGACGTTAGTGTTCGCACTGGATAGAAACGGACGTGACCGTCTAAAAGTGGGATACGCAAGTGTGTACGATCGACCGCGAGCGTCGTCGAGAGGACGTTTTCCGCGTCGGGGGAAACGTGTGATCTTTCTTCTTTCGGCGCGGTCGGGACTGCGTGCGGGGGTACCGCGATTTCGCGTGTCCTACGGTCTCTGTGTACTGTAGGAGGAACGCGAAACGCACGTCGCGAGAAAGAGGGACGCCCGGCGTTCGCGCGATCGAGGGGCGCCGTGTCGCGAGAGACGGCAGGAGAGGCGCCTCGTCGCCCTGGATTAGGCGCAACGTCAGCCGCCACCGCTCTTTCTCTCTCTCTCTCTGCTCCTTTGGAGCACAACTGCCGGCCGCGCTCGACTCGCAGGACCGTGCGAGTAGAATAAAACGGGAAGGAAAAACTTCCTCGGCGAGAAAGCTCGGCTCCCTCGTTCCACGCGGGATTCGCGCGTTGACCCTCGGGCAAGGTAAAGCGTTATACTCCGAGAGTCTCTGGGAGGAAAAAGAGAGAGAAAGAGAGAGCGAGAGCGCGCGCGCGCGCGAGAGAGAGAGAGAGAGAGAGAGAGAGAGAAGTAGTTCGCGAAGCGTAAAGCCCGTATCAGACTA